TTATTTTAATTTAAGCTTATGTAATAGATATAATGATTTTAATAAATACATCATTTTACTAATTTTTTTTTTCTTTTATTGTGTATTTTAGTATTGTTCTAACATCGTCATGTGTTGGTGTTGGTATCTTAGTATCTTTATGCTGTCATATGTTGGTGTTGGTATCTTGGTATTCTTTTGCTATCATATGTTGGTGTTGGTATATTGATGTTGGTATCTTGGTATCCTTTTGCTGTCATATATTGGTGTTGGTATCTTGGCATCCTTTTGCTATCGTATGTTGGTATTTTGGTATCCTTTTGCTATCATATGTTGGTATCTTGGTAACTTTTTGCTGTCATATGTTGATATCTTAGTATCCTATTACTGTTGTATGTTGGTATTTTGGTATCCTTTTGCTGTCATATGTTGGTATCTTGGTATCCTTTTGCTGTCATATGTTGGTATCTTGGTATCCTTTTGCTGTCGTATGTTAGTATGTTGGTATTCTTTTGCTGTCATATGTTGGTATCTTGGTATCCTTTTGCTGTCATATGTTGGTGTTGGTATCTTGGTATCCTTTTGCTGTCGTATGTTAGTATCTTGGTATCCTTTTGCTGTTGTATGTTGGTATCTTGGTATTCTTTTGCTGTCATATATTGGTATATTGGTATCCTTTTGCTGTCATATGTTGGTATCTTGGTATCCTTTTGCTGTCGTATATTGGTGTTGGTATCTTGGTATTCTTTTGCTGTCATATGTTGGTATCTTGGTATCTTTTTGCTGATATATGTTGGTATCTTGGTATCCTTTTGCTGTCATATATTAGTGTTGGTATCTTGGTATCCTTTTGCTATTGTATGTTGGTATCTTGGTATTCTTTTGCTGTCGTATATTGGTATCTTGATATCCTTTTGCTGTCTTATGTTGGTGTTGATATTTTGGTATCCTTTTGCTGTCATATGTTGGTGTTGGTATCTTGGTATCCTTTTGCTGCCATCGTGTTATTTATCAGATAATTTAATTTTTTTTTGTTGAATTTTCTTGATGTCTTGGCATTCTTTGGCTGCAGTCGTGTTATTAATCAGCTAATTTGATTTTTTTTTTTTTTTTAGTTTCTTGGTCTATGTCTTTTTTTCTGCTTGTATTTTTTTTTTTATTAATCTAAGGTTTTTTTTCTCTTTCTATATAGTATTATCTCAGCTTTTTGATATTGTTTTTGTTACATTTTTGGTGCCTTTTTTTTTTTTATTAGGCTTTTAAATGATGGTTGACAGGTGGGATAGATTTTTTTTAGATTAAGAGATGGCTTATTTAAAGTATTTCTTTATTATATTCCTATAACAAATACTGATAGATTTAGATTAGAATTAGTAGGTATGTGTTGGAGATTGAAATAAAGGCTATGGGTAAGAATGTTGAATGTATGTTAGCATAAGATTAAGTTTGGGATTAGCATAGAGGTTAGAGAAATTGATAGTTAACAGCTTGGTTAGAATGACATTCATTACTACAATCATTATTTATCATAACAAATATATAATGAATAACTATGATAAGTTTAGCCTCATGCCTATCAGCAGGCCTTTGTCTTGTTGAGATTTTTGCTATATATAATTAGAGTAGCTGCACGATGTAGTGACGAACACTAATTATTCTGTGCAATCTATTTCAAAGTATTATGCATTATATAAATTAATTAATAATATATATATATGTGAAATCATGATTTTTGCATTTGTTTAAACTGTAAATAAAACTTGATTCAATAATATGATAGGCAACTTAAAGATGAACAATCTATATTTCTTATATAAAATACCAATAATATTACACTCTAATAATAAAAGGCTGAATAAATTAGTAATGCAACCAAAATTTAACAGATTAGCCAAAATTTTGATCAGAATAAGCAGAATTGATC